AGAACATTCATTACAACATGCGCAACGCCATAAGGTATCTGAAAGAACATTCATTACAACATGCGCAACGCCATAAGGTATCTGATAGAACATTCATTACAACATGCTCATATAAAATTAAAAACAAAACACTATTGTGACTTCCAATTATCATATTCTTAAAGCATGGATATATGTTTATTTCACAAGTTCACACAAAGAAATATAATGGTTATCTGTGCATAGCCATCCCTAATTCTTAGCTTATAAGCTAGATGGAAGGCAGATAATCAACATTACCCACCGCCAATTCTTAGGCCACTCTTATTTGATCGAATGGTGGGATGTAACCGTCGCTCTTGTAGCGTAGGACAGGTTGCGAACCGTGAATCCTCAAATTCATAGTCAGGGCTCGTTAACTGCTAGGTCACACCCGGGCAAAATGTAGATACAGAACTAATATAATATAGAGTAGGTCTATTTCTTCTTGGAAAAAAAAATAGAAACTTTCATACATGAAATATTCATGAAAATGCCGATAGAGGAGGTTTATACTCCAATTTTACGTCCCTCAGTAATTCAGGGGAATTTAGGAAAAATCCCAAGAGACGAAAAACTTCAATGATGTAATCAAAATTGAAATCGAGTATTGTCAAGTCGTGATTTACTGGCACCAGTTAAAAACCATGATTTCACATGTTTGGCCTAAATTTGTTAAGAAGCTTCAGACTAAATCAGTAGAGTTATGATTAAGATAAATTATGATCATAATATAAAAAAAACATACACAAAATTAATCAATCATGTAATATAAAGCGTATTATGTATACATAGATGGATTGACATGTAATTGCTTGAACTGTTTTCAGTTTTAAAAAGAAATTATTCTTACTCTTCTCTCTCAATGTGCTATCTGAAACATCAGATACCAATATAACTATGCATGCGTATCTTACCATCTAGTACACAGCAATATCTAATTATAAGTTCTTTGTGTCATCTGTTTCAACACCCGTACACAGGCCTGATGTCATGCTATCTTACAGAATTGAATATTTCGTTTTGCAGACGTGGCTTGGTTAATCAATGATAAAGTAATACAAGCAGCCGGGGCTGACGTGTATGGGTTGAATGCTATCACGAACCTCTTACGCGTATTTGTATCCCCCCATGTTTGTTGATAATATTCTCCCCGAGTTCTGCTTAATTGATGGCAATGTTAGAGGTACGTGAGGAAACACCTGTTGGAGGGCGGTGCTCAATATATATATATATGCGTTACTAGTACGTTAACAAACGTATTTGTATTGTATGCAAATCAGATTGAAACAGTTAACTCGACATATTAAAATTTGTACAAGATAATTTTTTTTTAAATGTGACACAAGTTTTGTGTATTATTTTAACGAGATCTGAAAACTTTGGGTTATCTCTTTAACAGTTGCTACGTCAGTTAAACCAAACGCCATGATAACACACACACACACACACACACAAAGAAACAAACAAACAAGCTGACAATACACCAAGGTGAGTAAGCAAAACTGCGGATAGCATTTCCACGGAATATTCTTTCTCGGGAACACAAATATATATATATTCGATGACGAGGAACCAACTTTGAGACTAATAATGGCTGGAGACGGCTTGAATGGGTAATGAAGAAAAACTTTAATATAACAGCAAATGTACAACGTTTCGACAAGGTTTTGTCATCATCAGGTACTCTACCTCAATCGCTCGCGCCCCCAATAGATCATTTGCGTCTCCTTGGAGGCGCCCCACACTAAAGTAAGGAAATTCCTGAACTTAGTTAGAAGATACAGAATAGGGGCAGATCTAATTACCTCAATTGTAACAAAACTGGCAGTGGATGAGTGACCAGATCTTGTTATATTTATCTAGCTATGGAGAGGTTCTAGTAGCTAACCAGCTATTAGCATACCTCTGTAATGAGAGGCATGTAACGGTTTTTAGCTAACCAGATCTGATTATATATTTGTAGAAAAGGACATATATCGTTTCTTTGTTGACCATAACCGGCTATATTTTTGTAGAAAGAGGCAAGTATCAGCTTTTATCTGACTAGATCTATCATCGTAGAAAGCTCTAGGCTGTTAGCTGACCAGATATTGTTATATCTTCGGGAAAGGAGAAAGATATTAATATTTAGATAACCAGATTTGTTTATGTACAGATTTTTCCAAATATTATACAACAGTTAGGTTAACTTTTGACCCCTATAGGTGAAACACTGTAACACAACATCATTCTCTCAACCTCCGATATTAAAAATATTTTCAGACAACGACATGTACATATATATATCTTAAGGTTAAGAGCAGAATTGGTTGTATGTATTTACATATTATAACAGAACACAAGTATCATTCAGTAACTGACTAGATTTTTTTTTTTTAGTTGCGAGTAATGGGGGCGCCATCAGCAGATGATATGGCCCCAAATTCCCTGATCTGCTTTAGTTGACGGAAGTTGGCATATTTGGTGTGACGGGGATTCGAACCTGCGACCCTCAGATTACGAGTCGAGCGCCCTAACCACCTGGCCCTGCCGGGCACCAACTGACTATATCTATTTCCTCGGTTCTTATCAAGAGACGCCATCTATATTTACCAAACTTATTTCAATTCACTATTGATGTTCAAAGGTAAGCTGTTCCCCATTTTGTGTCTTGCAGTTTTTATGGCCGTTTTTACGTTTTTTTGCAATTACATGTAAGGGGAGCAACGTTTCATGTCCTAAGATAACATTCATGAATCATTAATTTACATAGCTTCCGTCCAAGGATCTGGTAGTTCAGCTAGTTTTATATAAGTTTTAAAAAGGCTTAACTGCCTTTAATTACAACCACTGTACTGTTACGTCTTCAGTAGTCCCCCCCTCTTCCTGGTAGTCCAGCTAGTTTTATATAAGCTTTAAAAAGGCTTAACTGCCTTTAATTACAACCACTGTACTGTTACGTCTTCAGTAGTCCCCCCCTGTTTCTGGTAGTCCAGCTAGTTTTATATAAGCTTTAAAAAGGCTTAACTGCCTTTAATTACAACCACTCTACTGTTACGTCTTCAGTAATCCACCCTCTTTCTCCATCTTCTTTGTATATTATGATAATTTATGTTTAATGAATTTGTACATGTATAAATTTATATCACTAAGGGTATTATTATTCATGTAAAAAAAAAGCATTTACTTCTTATTTCACGTGAGGTTTTACAAGTACTTGTA